AGTCTCACGCTCTACCGATTGAGCTAGCCGGGCAGGCAGGTTGCTTGTTGTTGCAACCCGACTCGGGAAGGGATGTCATGTTGCGTGTGTGCGTGGGGTTGGAAGGCGAACAGATTTTTTTTTTGCCTAGCATCTTTCCGTCGCGGCGTATCCGGCGGGCTTGGGGGGGGCATCATGCCGAGGCTGGTTGGCGCGGCGTCGTCTGTCGGCCCACTCGTACACGAGCCCACCCGCATCCGAGAGAGAAGAGTTCAGCTGCGGTGAAAGTCATGACGGTGCAGATACGTGAGGACGTGGGACAAGAGGACTGCATTGTATAGACAAAATAAGAATTCATATCGCGTTGCTTTTATGTGAGCAAACAGTCGCTTCTCAAAGCGTAGAACTTCTCCCTGCGACAGTCGCAGTGCAAAAGTGCCTCCTCCTCCTCCTGCTTCCTCCCTTCTCCGTATATACACCAAATCAGACGTCAAGTCACATTGAAAGTGTCCTGAAAACTACCTCCCAGCCACCTTGACGAGACCCTCAGATTGTAAAGAAATAGTCGTGCGCCATGCGCTGTGTTATGTTCGTTTGAAAAGGAAAATTTGTAGACATGGGATGTGGTTGGTGGAGCCGCGTTGGCGATATTAGTGAAAAATAAATTGAAAGTATTGCAAGCGTGTGACGCATGACCCGTGAGACCTCGAACGCCTTGTGTTCGATCGGCAAGACCGAAATGCCCGATGGGGGTGTGGAGGGGTATCTTCAGAAACAAATAGAAACCCAACAGGCGCGGTGTTGAGCGATCTCTTCTTTTCTAAAGGGTGAAACTAAAAGTTCTGCGAGATACCCGCACTCTGCTGCGGGTAGTGCGAGGGGCTTTCAATACGCGTGTTGCGTCGCGCCGGGTTGTCCTGAATGATGGGCTGTCCCGGCAGCTCGGAAGGGCGCCCGTCGCCGTTGTAAGCGTCCTGGCCGTACGGGTTGCTCGATCCGTACTGGTCGTAGTAACCGTTGCCGCCGGCACCGCTGTACGCCATGCCGATGCCTTCGGCCGCGCTCGAGCCGTCAGAACGGCCGGCAGCGCTGTAAGAGGAAGAGGCATTAGACGGGCCGCGCTGAACACCGTTGGCGCGGTTCAAAGCAGCGGAAGGACCCATGGCGCCGAGAATCTCGCCATCACCACCGTACTGGTTCTCGTTGAGCAGGTGCTCGCCTGAACGTGTGTCAGAAATGTTGCCGTGGGTTTGCGAAGTGATATCCGAGTAAGCCTGACCTGTGTTGCCGCCAGACATGGTGGTCGACGCCTTGCGTCCGGTGGAGCCAGCGAGAGTAGTGGTGCCCCAGCCGCGGTAACCGGCTGATGAGGCATCCTCGCGCATCTCATACGAACCGTCACCTCCGGCGCCACCCACAGTAGGGATCGTCGGATCAGCGTTCGGGTTATAGGCGTAATCCTCAACCTCCTTGCGTCGCTCCTCCTCAGCATCCTTCTTGGCCTTTCGCTTGCGCCAGAAGTAAAGACCAGCGAGAATGATGAGGGCGACAGCTACAATGGGCACGACAACGGCGACGGCGATCTTACCGCCGCTGCTGAGGCCACCACCACCGCCACCTCCAGGGCTGATGGGACCGTTGGTTCCTGTACTCGTCGCAGCAGTGCTCTCGCTGGTGGTCGACGCACGTGGGGCGGTCGTGGTAATAGTGCGAATGACAGTGCTGGTCTGGCCGCCGGGGTTGGTCACGACAGAAGACTCAACAGTGGTAATCTGCGTCGACGCGGGAGCCTGTTCAGAAGTGGTAGGCTGCGTCGTCGTCTCGGGAGCGGGGGGCGTCGAGCTTGTGCTAGGCTCGGGCACCGGAGCAGGGGCGGAAGTCGATGTAGATGGCGCAGGGGGTGGAGGCTGTGATGTTGTCGATGTGGTTGCTGGGGCCGCAGGCGTCGAGGGGGAGGGCACTACAGCAGTAGGGCTGCTGGGCGCGGGAGCTGGAGATCCGCCGGCCGTGGTCGAAGGGGAAGTGGCGGGGTCGACCGGAGTGGTAGTTGCGGCACCAGTGGGCGTGCTAACAATGGGCGAAGCCGCAGGAGAATCCGACGGCAGAACCGGGGATTGAGTGTTGTTGTCAGACATGATGGAGGCTCGTCGCGGTTTCGATGAACGATTCTTCTGCTGACGTGGTCATGTTAGCCAACGTATAACGTGGCGAGGTAGAGGCCAGTGGCGTGACCCAGATCAGATTTTTGTCTTTGGGATGACGATGCAGAGTAAACAAGGCCTCAATGTGGTTCAAGAACTGCAATGGCACGCTGCAGAGCAAATTGGTCCGTCCCAAAAGGTAGAGACGCGGAGACATGTATGGGCAAACAAGCATGAGGTGTGGCGTCGGAATAAAGGAGGCAAGACAACGTACCGTGGATTTTCCCAATCGCACTCAAAGCGGCGTTTTTGCTTTCGATTCGATTAACGATAGGTTACGATCCAAGACGCCGTGACCAAGAATAGGTCGGTATCGTCAGAGGGCGGCAGGTCGGGGTAGGCGTCTGAAGATGGGACCTCTCTCGACAGACGCAGGACCGGTAGCAATTGTTGTGCAAAGTGCTAGTGTCGCGCGACTACGTCCCGCACGTTCACTGGTCGACGAATGGCTGGCTCGGGTGTGCGTTGCTCGTCGGGCGCTGCGATCGGATTTGTAGATCGTGGGTCGAGACGATGGGACGAGCAGTGTCGTCAGAGTCGATGGGCACAGTGACGAGGGAAAGGAAAAGAGAGAAAAAGTGAAGCACCAAAACGCGGCGAGGTGAGATGAGATGATTCGGGTTGGCTGTGACGGGGCACGGAATAGGCAGGCAGGAGAGGGAATTAAGGGACCCAGACTGGCAGTGGCAGGGGCAGTGGCAGTGGGAGTGGTAGCGACGGCAGCGGCAGCAAGAAGCAGGAAGCAGGAAGCAGGAAGCAGAACCCCAAGCCAAGACACGAGACGCAGGACACAAGACACAAAGACGAAGGCGGCCGGGACGGACAGGGCAGGAGAGACCAGGCCATGCACCCACCCACCAGTGACGGAAAGCGGGCACCGTGTGGCGCTCCAAGTGCTCCAAGTGGAGGTGGCTCGGGCTCGGCTCCTCGGGCATTTACTGGACAAGGCTTCGCCGGGGTCCCAGTGTACACGGTAGCAGGGCAGCAGCAGGGCAGCAACAGGGCAGCTCGAGGGCAGCGCCAGGGCAGAGTCAGGCGCCCCCCCCCCCCCGAAGCAGCTCCAGGGCCTACCCCTTTCAAGTGGCACTGCCAACCCATTTCGTGCACAGCCCGTTTCCGGCCCAGGCACGAGAAACAACAGGAGGTCCACACTGTATGCATGGTACATGCCGTCGGAAACCTAAGGTGCTCAAAGGTTGGGTTCGAAGCCTTTCACGCAAGAGGATCATCGTCACCACACGAGGGCCAATTCTCCATTCGCCTATGCTAGACTTGGCCTCGAATTCATGCCGAACTCTCCCTTCCAACCCACTGCGGACCGAGGACCACTCGCCGCCTGCAGAAACCCTTCACCGACAGCCTGCGTCCGTGAGTGACCTGATATGCCCCATGGACGAGCCCGCTCCGGTGCAGCGAGGCGACATTGGGGGAAATTGCGTGCACCCATTCTGCCCTGTACCTGTCTTTGAGCGCACGGGCAATGACGACGAGGATGACCACTTCTCCGTCCCCGTTGGGCAGGCAGTCGAAAGACACTGAAAGAGAGAGAGAGAAAAATAAAAAAGACCCCTGCGCTATATCTAGTCCCCCGAACCCCCCATATGACAGAGGGCCGGGGCCGATATCCGCACGACTTCGGCCCTGCTCCTTTTCTCGCTGACCAACACGTCCTGTTATCCGCCCATGGCCGAGGCAGGAGCATCGTCACGAGAACCGTCCCTGCCGTCTGTCCTGCCTGTCCAGAGGCTGAACTGACACATGGCACAGAATCGTAACTTGGCAGTCTCGATCCCAGCCGCGTCTCAATTAGGCCGAAGTGCTGGATTTGTCGAAGGAACACGCGCTGCATTCCATTGGTGAATGCATCGAACGGCTATTTTTCTCTGCTGGCTGACCTCGTGTTGGTCGGCACCCGCATCTGCTGCACATGCACCTGGGCATGGGGCGTCGCTGAGTGCAGCTGTCCAGATTGAGATTAGTCGCCTCGATGTTCTTCACGCGTTCACAACTCAGACACCTCGCCTTGGCAAGCCAATCCTGCACTGGGATCCTTTGCTTCAACGTACGTAGCATCAGGGTCGCTCAATAGCTCCAGCTTATTGCGCAGGCTATCAGGTTGTGCAATCGCTCTCCCGTCGCTGCGGAAACTATGGCGGCAGTTCGTGACCCAGATATCGGTCCGTAGCCTGTCCATATCCGCTGTCAGTGCAGCGAGTCATACCTTTCCCTCTACGCCCTACCTACGCCGCACCGCGACCTAGCACCAGCGCCCCAACGCCGGAAATCCGACCACCTACAGCATACCTAATCAATCATGCCTCGCTGCCCAGGCCCGCAAATCAAGCGGCTCTGAAACCCATTGAATGTCTACAGACACATTTTCGTAGACCAACCGCTCTCCGAAACCCCTCCCACTAACCTCCCGCAGTATGCTCTTCTTCAGGCGGCGAGCCCGCAACTTCCCCCGCCCTCCCGCGACCGATCCCACTCGATCCGCACACGCCGCCGATCCCTCCAGCGCAGCGCCGCGTAGTCTCCTCTTGGCATCCGCTATCTGCCAAGACCTGCAACGGCAGTGGCAAACCAAGAAGATATTTTGCTCGTATTCCCAAAGGGCGCTCACTAAACCCTCACCGGCGAGCCTCGGGTCAAAGCCAGCCTCATCTGCAGCCTCTCTGGCTAGCTGGTCAGTAGCGTTCGGGCCTGTAAGCAAAGGCCCCGAACGTGAGGTCATCCCGAGAAGCACCACACGCATGACGATCCGCGATCCCGCATTGGAGCCCACATCCCACCAGATGACGTGCCTTCATCCGATCATGGAGAACGATTCAAAGGGAAAGGACGTACTTGAAACGGCCACAAAGCGGTCTGTAGTACCACAGCAGGCTTGTCCTCATATCGGGAAGCCTAGAGCCTTTCTGATCAAGTGATCGTTCCTACTCTCAATCTCAAGTCTAAGTCTTCACGAATACTGATTTGAAAGTGACGTGACATTCCTCAACGTTCGACTGCAACAACTCCTGGACCAGCCGCAACAAACCTCAGGACTGGCCTGGGAAGAGAGAGGGGGGAGGCGGGCAGTGCCGGCAGTGCCCTTCCCAAGCGGTAACGCCGCCCGCCCGAACGTGTTGAGATACGAAAATAGCAGCCTCCCGCCCCTAAGAAAAGAGCCGGTCGCACTGGATGGTTGGCCGCCGTCCTCTCGCAACGGGCATGGAAAGCCACCATCGATCTTAGCCTTCCACACAGCCAAAGCAAGCCTCGCTTGCGACTTCAGCTTCTCGGCGTGGCTATTGTGTGGTGCCCACCATGCAGATCAGCCGCCAGTCACCCGTCCCGGATCTGCAAGGTACACAATCGAGACTCTTAGTGAAGCGCGTTACTGGGACAAGCAGCCATTCGAGCATTCCTCCTAAGCCTCATCAACACGCGATCTCACCAACATCACATGCCAAGCAAATCCAAGTTGCAAATGCAAGAAATTGTCAGTCACGCAAGCGCGTGTGTCTTGATTGTATTCGCCGTCTGTCTTTGTCTGATTTCGACAATTTAGGCCCCAGTCTATATGCAGAAAAGCCCGTGAGAGACCAAAAGCATCATCATCTCTGATCCGAATACTCCAATCACGGTAGGTGTGTGTATGTGATGTTTGTCTGTAGTGTGACCCAACCCGTAAGAAAATAAAAAGACATTACCAGGTATGTCGCTTGTGGTGAAAAAAGAGTGCGCCGCTGGACGACGAAGCGTCTTCCCATGCCGATGCAACAAAACACGCCCCCTCCTCGCAGAGTCAGAGTCATGTACGTAATTGAGAACAATGTGCCGATGCCGCTCGCTTCATGAACCGGCGCTGCCGGAGTATCAACCCATTGTGGAAGGCAGGGTGAATAGGTCAGTCGCCTAGGTGCGCATGCCCCAAGAGGGTTTCAGCGTCGTCTCGAGACTGGCCTGCGTGAAGACTGTATCGCCTGGGAGACGACTGACGCGACCGGCGCCACTGCGGATGGCGTGGGCTTGAACGGCCGAGATGCCGCTGCGGTTGCTACGTATGCTGCCGGCGTCGCTCATGTTGTCCTCGTTTTGGAACTTGCGGGGAGGAGCGAAGTCAAGTGCTGTGAAGGTGCTCGACTTTCGGAGCAAGTGCGGGCTTGGAATCGCAGGCATCTCCTCAAAGCTGCTGACAAGAGGCGAGGCGATAGGCACCTTGGGCGCGAACGGCCGCCTTTCACCCGCCGGGCTCTGGGAGCGACCACGCTGGCGGTCCTCGTAGCTCTCTGGAGGCGCAAAGTCGATAGCACCCAACAAGGCCATGTTGTCGTCCCTCAGCTTCGAGGGGTTAGGTAGCGTGGTCAGAGCCGTGGGAGGTGGGCCCTTGGGCTTGGGTTGCCGCTGGAACTTGTTGGATACGGATGAACCGGGTCGTGGCTGGCCATAGGCACTGGAGAGAGAGGACCCCGGGCGTGTAGGTGTTCCCCATCTGCCATTCGACATCGCTGTGCCGGCACGGGGCGGGCCTTGTTGCCTGCCGCGAGGCATGTTCATACCTCCAATAGACCCGTGCATACCTCGAGGAGGAGGTCCTCGCAGGCGCGATCCGCTGGGTGGCGGCGTCATCGCGCGCCTTGTCACCGGTTGGGCATACGGCATGACAAAAGAATTGGAAGCCGGGTCGTAAAAGGCGTCGTTGCCACCGCCGTACCCAGCATCGTAATCCTCGTAGTACTGTGCACCACCTTGCTGGTGGTTAGGAGGAGGCATGTTGTGCTCGCCAGGGGGCTTGGAATCATCGAAATACTCCTTGTAAAAGGATCGGATTCTGTTCGCTCTCTCCTCCGGGTCCTCAGACTCCATAACCTCATTAGGTGGCAGAGGCCGCAACCCTACAGAAAGCCTCTTGTTGTCTTGCTGAGGAACACCAAGCCCGAGAGCCCGGGATTCGCGGAAGTTACCCTCCATGGAACGCCTCTGCGTAGATCGACCGCGCTCCTCATACTGCTCATAGTCCGCATAGTTCTGGGACTGCTGGCCGTGCGGGCCGTCGCGATCGTCGATATCCATGGGACCGTCAGGCATGACGGCGGGAAGAACACCAGCTTGGTCTGTCTTGCGGACGGCAGGGCTGGAAGGTAGACCGTTGAAAGTTTGAGGTGGGGCCTCGAAATTCATTTCGTGGAGACCCAGACCAACACCAATTTCCGGGAGCACGGGGGACTGGAGGGTCGACGTCGACGCCGCATTGTGGACTTGGTGAGCTGCGGGGTCAGGGAATTGCGCAGCTGGCTCGTTCCAGGACGGCTGCGAAGCACCAGAGCTGACGCGTCGGGCGTCTCGTTGCGCTACCGGGGCCGGTTGGGTGACATCGGGGACATGAGGAAGGTTGCGGTTGCTGTCGTCGAAGTCTTCAGCGTAGGAAACGGTTCCAATCTCGGGGATAATGGCATGAGGGAGGGAACCACCAGTCGGTGAGATAGGAGATGTTTCAAGCTGCGGCGTTCTGGCTCCGGTGGGGGTTGCGAAAGGATCGGCAGTCAAGGGAGGAGGCTTCGGGAGCGAGTTTTGACGAGGCGGATGAGTACGGCTGTGAAGACTCGAGCCGCGCTCAGTTGATCCGGTGTACACTGATGAGCCGGCGCGTCCTTCCTTCTCAGGACGGAACGAGCGAATGGAACCGACTTCGCTGCCGTACTGGTTGACTGGTCGGTAGGGGTCGTCATCGTCGTGGAGGTTACGGGCGAGGGAGTGAAGGGACTGTTTGGAGCCCTGAAGCGCTGGTGGCAGAAGGTACGGGCTGGAGAGGTTCATGTCCATCGAGACCTGCGCGCGATGCTTGGGATCGAGGTTCAACATCTTCTCACGGAACACACTTTTCCGCTTACCGCCCCTGCCCATCTTGTCGTCGTTGATGCCAAAATCAAGACTCATGGTGGGGTCGCTGGCTTCTTCCATCCTCTGCTTCTTGATACCTCTTCGGTGCAAGTAGTAAAGGATCGACATGATGGCAACAATGGGAATCCTACAGGATTGATTAGTCGTTTGCCATGGTGAGAGAACACGTTAGACATACACAACACTGAGAGCAATAATGAGCGTCTGAGGCTTGACAGCTGGCGCTTCACAGTCGGGGTGATCGGGATCACACTCCTTTCGGGCTGCAATGACTGGACCTGGAGACCTAAGTAGGGTAGCGTCTTCATGCGTAGGTTCCGCAGTTCGGACGCGTATCCGAGAACCCATCCGATAGCCATTTCCATTGAAGGCTGTGGCAGCCATGTTGATCGTCGTGATTCAAGGTTGGCGCAAACCTTTCACGTGTACCGTCCTAATTAGGTGCCAAGCAATCCGTCGTGAATATGTAAAAATGCCGGAGGAAATCGCAGACTGCGTGTGTTTGTGTAAGGATCTTGTGAGATGTTTCGGGGTGTGCCGAGTCAAAATCGGGGATCTAATCGGAGATCAAGTCGTTACTAGTTCTTCGAAAAAAAGCAGAACGATGCTGGGTGTGCCAGAGCGGGCGGGTAAAGAGTGTCGTCCGTAGGCTTGGGATGAACAAGTCTAAGGGGGGGTAAAAATGAGTGTGGAGAGTTTGTCTTTCGAGGTTGGGACAAACAATAAAAGAGTGACGAGCCCGCTGGCAGGCAGATCCCGCAAAAGAGACAGACAGTCGGCAGTTGAAGGCTTGAGAGGAACTGACGATGAGGAGAGAGAAAGGAGAAAGAGGAGTCGTGACCTCGAAGGAAGACCAGAATGGAGGTCGTCGGGAGAAGACCCACCAACTTGCCAACCCACCTATCTCACCCTCTCGTTCTCTTCCTTCCCCCCAGGTCAGGTACGGGGGGCGGCGGCGGAAGGAGAGCGAGGAAAACGACTGGGCAGGGGAGGCACGGCCAGACCCAGGGTAGCAGCCACTTGCCTGCCAACGAGGGCCAGCAAAACGGAGCCAAGAGCGCCAGGGAACGGAGCAACGTGTGGAATTGGCGAATGAGGCCTAATTTCGCCAAATGAATTAGGCGGGGCTCGCTGGGGTCCTTCGTCTGTTGTGCTTGTTTGCTTGCCGCCCCTTCACAAAACAGGCGTGCACAGCACTGAGGACCACCACTGACATGTCGAACCGACGCGCTAGCCCAGGCACCGCGCAGGGAGTCCCAGGATCTACAGGGGGTTAGTGCAAGCATTGGACGCAGGAACGCGCCCCGGCGTTGCGGGAAGGGGCGCACCTTCCCCTCGCCCTTGCCTGATTGAGAGGCCCCGATACGCGCCGTGCGAGCGAGCGTCGTTTCCCATCCCTTTCCTTGCCATCCTGCATTGCCTGCCCACCCAAGAGACCTACCGTCTCAACTTTGGCACTGTCTCCGTCTGAACGACGCCTTCCAGATAAGCAACGCCAGGGAACGTGGGAACAGCCCTGCACCCTTCATCCTAGGGAATCCTAAATCCAGGCTCCATTGCCAACAGGTCTGTCCCACTGGTGCAATCCACATGAAGAGCCCAGGCCTGGCCAACCCCTGAACCCATGGCGACTTCTTTCTACCACGATGTACTGCCGAAATGATGCGATCAGAAATCTGGGTTCAGGGGCGAGACCGAGCCGTCGTCGAATCGTGCGATGTCCTGTACAGGACAGAGTTCTCTCTATTGTTGTGAAGCACCACAACAACAGGATAGCGGTGTACACGTACTGTACAATCGGGGCTTCTCCTTCTGCCGCCCCGTTTTGGTCTCGGACAGACACCATCTTGCTTGCTGCGTTGAGAGACACTCAGTGTCTTGTGCGACCGACCATCTCTCCCAGCCCATGTTCCCCCTTGTCAACTCAGACGGGATGTGTCTGTGTCTCCTGGTCTGGTCTCGTCTTACTCATCATGCTCAGGATCTTTTCCGCTGCACTGCGCCAAGACTACTGCAAGGCTGCGAACGATGATTTTGCTGCAGAGAAGAAAAAGGCCTCGTTCCAAGGAAACGTCAACCCCAAATATGTATGTCATGTCTTCTCAGGGGCGGAATGCTAGATGTGGTGGCGTTGTACTCTCAAGTCAGGGAAATTGTGATGTCAGCAGCGATCGCCTATTGGCCCGTGACTTGTGTCTAGATTGCGGCATCACCACCAATCATGCATCCCATCAGCATTCATGATTATTTTTGTGCAAACTCGATGCCGCCTCCGACCCCATCACTCACAAAATGCCTGGAGTGCTTGTGACGTAGGACAGCATGCCCGCTTTCCTGTCTCGGAGGTCGCCACCCGCTCTGAACATGCCAGAGTCCATCAGATCCCGCCAAGCTAGCATCGGAAGCCTCAGCATTACACCCTGTCTGCTGGTTTGGAGATCTTGTAGAAGTCGGGTGCGTACTCCAAGAGCCAGTTCCTTTCAATCTTGGTAATGTCACGGATGTAGACCTTGCTGCTAGTCTCTATAATCTCGTGATAGATGACCCAGTCCGCCTTGCGACTGAAAAGGAGCGATGTTGGATGCGCGTGCAGCGTCATGTCGCCGGCCACTTTTTGGAACGTTCCATCGGGACGCATCCTCGCCGCGTGGGCAAAATACCCACTCGTGAGACATCTTCGAATCTGCTCAGCTTTTTTCAACATGTCCTGCTGCGTCAGTTTCGTCCCAAGCGATTCGTCGACCGGGATGCCGAACCGCTCGATGTATCGCTTGAGCTGGGCCCGAACACTGACTGCCTTGGTCATCGTCTTGAAGTTGAGGTTGTGATCATGACAGAAGCGCGCCTCTTTCTTGCCTTTGGTGATAAAGGCGAGATAAACGTTGAGCAGCGTCAGGTGATCACCCTCTTCGACGGCAAATTTGCGTCTTGAACTTTCCATCCTTTTCCTCTCGCCGTCGTGATAAAACCACACATTGCCAGCGACGCTGGTCATGGCAGCAATCGTGAGAATCTCACTTAAACAGCCGAAAGACTGTGCACTCAGCAACGTCTTGCCCATCATCGGCTCTACGGCAATCTCCGCCATTCTGTATCCCAACGGGCGAGTCAATTTGGCGTACTCGTCAAGTGCGCCTAGCGAATAGAGTAGCTCGAGGGCTTTTGCCATCAGTTTGGCTGGAGGCGCGCTGAGAAAGGGGAACCGCAGAATATTGTCGATGCCGAGGGCTTTCAGCTGCAGGATGAATGGCGCAAGGTTAGTCCTTTGGATTTCAGGAACATTGGCGTCCGCCAAACTCTCCCATGCCTCCTCAGTGTAGAGCCTGAAGCATTTGCCAGCTCTCGTACGACCTGCTCGTCCTGCTCTCTGCATGGCTGATGCTTTGGATAGCGGAGTTGTAGTAAGCGAGTCGATGCCGAGGTCGGGGTCGTACGTCCTGAGCTTTACGAAACCACAGTCTACAACGTAGACGATGCCGTCAATCGTCACTGAAGCCTCCGCAATATTCGTCGAGAAAACAACTTTTCTTTTGTTCTCCGGCGGTTTGTCGAAGATGAACATCTGCTGTTCGGTCGACAGCCCTGCATATAATGGTAATGGTTCAAGAGTTCGTTCTTGAGGCCCCATCTCAAGCAGTCGATCTGCGACAGCTTGGACGGCCTTATCAATTTCTTCACGGCCAGTCAGAAAGACTAGGATATCGCCATCGGCCTCCTTCGTATGAATGTCCAGAACAGTGGTTATGGCCCTCTCGAAGTAGTCTTCGGTTGGCTCTTCGAGATATAGAATATCGATCGGAAAGGCCCGGCCCTCGATTTTGACGACTGTTGCTGGTGATTCTGAAATTTGTGTTTCGGGCGCTCCAGACTCCGGCGCAGGTGTAAAGTATTTGAGGAAGGCGTCTGCTTGTAGTGTCGCGCTGCTGATAATTAAGCGGAGTTCAGGACGCTTCCTCATGATCTTTTTCAACAGGCCTAACAAGATATCTGTGCTGATGGACCTTTCGTGCGCCTCGTCTACCATGATGACCGAGTACCGCGAGAGAAGAGGATCGACAAGAGCCTCTCTAATCAGGAGGCCGTCGGTCAAAAATTTGATTCGTGTGGAAGACGACGTGACATCTTCAAACCGAATTGAGTAACCGACTTCCTTTCCAACATCGCAGCCGACTTCCTCAGCGACTCGCAGGGCGACCGTCGTTGCTGCGACTCGACGTGGCTGTGAAAATGTTAGATCTCGCCAACAAAAGGGCACCTCGTGAGTAGACGGACCTGTGTTACGCCGATGACCTTGCCGCCGTCCGCCCATCCCGACGCCTCCAAAAATTGGGGTATTTGGGTGGTCTTGCCTGAGCCCGTCTGGCCGACAATGATGGTAACAGGTTTGGTTTCGATGAGATAAAGCAAGCCTTCACGGTGCTTGGCAATTGGAAGAAGGGCAGCAGGTTTGTGAAGTGCTGGTATGAAAGCCGAGTTTACGTCGAAGTCTGCCATGGTTACCGGTGGTGCGCCTTTAACGATTGTCGGCAAAGAAAGATCCACTGATCAACAGGTCGAGATGCCTCAGGGCCAGTCTCACAGTTTCTGGATTTTGGACATCCGAAGGCATATTACCAACGTTGCTGCTATCCTCACCAGCCTTGACTACAAGACAGACTGGCTTGTGAGGTGTGAGGAACCAACTGGTAGCAGTAGGTGACAGCTGTGATCTTGTCATTCGCCCGGTGATGTGGCCGATGTGACGACACAGGCAAACGGTCCGATGTGGCGCAGCACCAAGTGGAAGCCTGGTGCTCGGTGCGGCGTCATCTGCGTCGCGGCCCACTTCTGTCGGCGTCCGACATGGACCCCTCCCATGATCAACAGCAATCTCGAAGCATCCAGGTTTCCCAACAGCCCCATTGCAAGCATTTCCAGGAAGAAACATAACCTTACGAGGCACCTGAGATACAACTTGAACTTTCGCTACGCAGCAAGCAGTCGCCATGTCTGCGCCGGCCGAGACGGTGAGGTCCCACTCTATATTCATTCAACCTCTGTGGCACTAACGATAGTCTGGCCGTACTAGGACAAGAACACTTCCCCTGGTGCTCCTGAATCACCCACTACAGCTCGTCCCCTCGAAATGGACGACGATGATGTTCAAGACTCGGGTATTGTTGGAGATGATGCCTCCAAGACCACACCCGCAGCGGCCAGCACCACACCCGCAACAAGCGACGAGACGCCTCCGACGAAACCCCCTCGCCCTCTGACTGAGGCGCAGAAGAACGAAGCCATCCTAAAGGAGGCATTCCCTGGAATCGACGCGACTGTCATCAGGGCTGTTCTCACTGCCAGCCGCGGGCAGATTGATCCAGCTTTCAACGCCTTGCTCGGTATGTAACCGGTCCAATAGAAATACACCCACAGAAGACATGGTCTGACAGCAGTTTCACAGAGATGACGGATCCCGATGCGGCTCAGAGGGAGCCCAGTGAGGAGGCTCCGCCTCCTCAGCCCCCGCGCCCGTCGGGCCCAGCCCACACTATGTCGCAACTCGAGTCGGACGAGCTATATGCCCGCCAACTCGCAGAGCAATACAACGCTGGGGCATATGAACAACGAACCTCGAGCCGCGGCCAGCCCAGACAGCGCCAGCAGACGGGACTCAAGCCAAACGAGCTTCATGATAAGGAGCACAACTTTTTCGAGGATGACCTGCCGGTCATCCAGGAAAGACTGAAGCAGGGCTTCGTGGAGACCCAAGGCAAGGTTAACTCCTGGATCACCACACTGAAGAAAAGGATCGACGAGGAGTTTGCCGAGAGCGACGAACCTACACGACCCCAGCGACCCGGCCATGAGCAGTTTCCTGGGCCACGACCTGGGCAAGCCAGCCGCAGGAGTGGAGACTACGAACGCTACGATGCAGACCCTCAAGTGCTGAGCGACGACTTTGCGGGTATGAAGTTCTCCGCCGATGGCAGTGAGTATCGCCAGCCACAATGTAACTCATGAGTTTCTTGTTGACATCCAACTCAGCGCCCGTCCGCGGCAACAGGCAGCAGGTATCGAGCCCGGATCTGTTCCGACCGCCGCCACCCTCCAAGTCTCCCAGGTCGTCGGACGGCAGGAAGGTCGCCTTCAGGGATGGAGGCGATGACGATGTGTATGGCGTCTCCCCCAAGCTGTCTGCAGAAGACAGCAATAAGCCAAAGGCCAGCAAGTGGCAGCCTCTGTCGACGGTTGACCCCAGCCCCATCACGGACAACGACCCATTCAGTCTAGGTGACAGCGAGGACGAGCGCGACGCCAAGGACAAGTCAGGCTCGAAGGACATCAAGCTTGACGACAATGAGCGGCTGAAACTCGCCGCTGCCGAGGCCATGTCCGACAGTCTTGTTGACTCGAACAAGAAGGATGAGACGTCCACGGCCGCAGCAGGCGTGGATGCTGCAAAGAAAGTCTAGCCTTGACGTGTTGTCGGCTTATGGTCGGATGTTGTTTCTCGGATGGTGTTTCTCTCATGTCGTGCAACGTCACAGACAACAGGCATTTACGCAGGCGGGCGTTCGGGAGGTCACCTATCTTCAGGTCATGTTCAAGAGTGAATCCCAATACCAGATTGACCAGATCTACAATATCGCCTCGAATATTCTTCCTCTTTTACCTCGATGCCCGCTCTTGACTGAATGAGATGACTCGCTGCGGGATTCACATCAAGGCTATCCGCTGTGGTGGTTGCCAAAGGATTTGCTTACCAGATGGGAACAACGGGTCCGAAAAAGGCTCAATGAGCGGATCAGAATAGGGCGATCTGCCGGGCTACTTGTAAGTCGACCGGATTTCAGGCCGGGCTTGAGCACAGCAAGTCAAGCATACGTCACTAGAATCGTCAACCTGTTCCGGCCACATGAATTGACTGATGTGATTACATCATGCTCAGCCAACCAATACCCCTCATATCCCGACTCGCAGTAGACGCGAGCCCAGCATCGGCCTCGACACTGCAAACTGCTTTCTGCTTCAGTCAAGTGGGCACGTGGCCATGTTTCTGGCATTCGAGGCCCAGCTGGTTGCTGCAGGTTGAGTAGCGCAAGACCGTTTAGGAGGAGGGGTCCAGCGGGTGGTTAACGAGGGATATCTCAGCCTCGTACTTGGCGTGAGAATGGGGGGGGAAAACGTGGTCCGATTGCAAGGTTTGATTGGACAGAAGTTAAGTCTTGGCTAGATCGGTGGTAGGTGCACCAGGCGAGCTCATGTTGGTGACAGCTACCCAGGGAGCTTGGAGGGTCCCGATGGTACATTGTTGGTGGCTAAAAAGAGGTAGCACGCGACGGAGATCGTGTCCAGGAGGCTTAGCTACGTACCTTATCTACCACAAGGTACCTGTCCAGCACACAGTCTCTGGGTTGCTTAAGAGAACGGCAGCTGGCTCGAACCCTGGGCGTGACGCCCGAGACTGGTGACAGGCAACAGTAACCTTAAATCTTTTTTCAGCCTCACGTGTCTCGATCGGCAGAGATGCGTTTGAGCGCTGAGCCGACGTCAGACAGGCTGCTTGACTCGAGACCATGGTGTCCCTGAAAGGTGCTGGCAGGTACCAGTCTATATGGAGGCCTCGCTGAAGAAAGACGTACTCCAAAGTCAATCGTCGAGGTTGGTGTCGTGGTGGGGCAGCTATGCAGTAAGTAAGTACCTCCGGGCAGCAGGGCAGGCACCTGAGTACCCCGCATCACCAGCGCTAGCAGGGTTTCTCACTGTGGCCCTCTGCAGCTTGCGGCAAGTTCTGTATCGATTTCTCCCCCTCGGCCTCGGAGGGCCCCTCCCATCGCGACCACCACCAGACCAATCCTTGCTCTACTGTCTCGGCCAGCTTCATCTTTCCAGCCAGAGTCTACCCGCCAGGACCCCATTCAGTCCATCATTCCACCCGCCCGTCTGAAGAGGAAATAGACAGGGACGCGGCCGCCCCGCAGTAGTCTGGCTACAACACGGCACCACGGCACTACGGCATCTTAACGACATCCTGGGACATGCTTCTCTCACTCCGCCATATCTGAGATGCCCTGCTAGCTTCTCTCCTCGTTACTTGGCTGAAGACATGACCGCCGCGACCTGTCCTGTTACGTCCTCGCCGGAGCAACACGATTTACCCTTCATCTAATCTACGACATCACACGTACCACCTGCCATCCTTCAGCTTCAATCACGAATCTCAAGCCTGTTTATTTCTTCGAATCTTCATCAAACGCGCCCTTCGGCAACAGGTAGGTTCATGCCCACCATTCCGTCTCAGTCACCTCTGGTTGTGTACAACAAGAACCCTCGTCCACAACTACTGTCCTATTTCTCTGCTCCATATCCATTGGGCTTCGACATCGGCGGTTACTACATCGACACGCCGAGGTGCATGCCGCTTCAGTCTTCACGACCCCCACATCCTCCGGCCAGAGCCCAGATCATCCATGTGCTTTTCCTCCTCCTTACCTGTGCTAGCCATGCCAGCGGCTCAAAAACCAGGGTCTGGAGATGGTGGGACTCTCATGCAGCTCCTCGGTCTGGTCCAGCCGGCCAGCCCTTCGCCTGCGTTGATCGGTCGAGTGACCTTCAGCTCGGGTGTCAGCAGCTTACCTGAAGGTTCCTCCATCCACCGCACTACTTCTCCTTCACCTATCTTGCCCTGAATCACCAGAGACCACGCCCACGTGCTACGGGCGTCTCAGTGATACCTTGTCCAGTCCCGAGCCATCTTGTTGAGAGACGACGTCAGTTCTTCAGGGACACGTTCTCGCTGCACGACCTGGCTCTGTTGCTAATACCCACCAGGACTTACAGTATTCTACCTTGCTTCGTCGTCCCGTTGCTCTACCTTTCACCCTCGTCTGGTGTCCGGGAAGCTCGCTCATCGTTTTTGTCGAGCTTCAACGTCATTTGTCAAACCACTCCCGCCAACCGTCCGGAGCGCCGTGCGTCTCTGACACCCGCACATCATGTAAGCGATGCTTTTGTGACCTGCGGCGGCTGTGCCGACATGAATCTGATAGGCTCCTGCAGGAAGTTCGGCAAGCAAATCCAGAAGCGCCAGCTGGAGGTCCCAGAATATGCCGCCAGCTTTGTCAACTACAAAGCCCTGAAGAAGGTACGTGCTCCCTCCCCACGCTCGATCCCAAACCCGCCTCGGCAGGTGCCTGTTCGGGTGCAGGAACTGTCAGAGAGGATTGGTCTATACCGTCCGATCAAATCAGGACGCCCATCCCTTGAGCGTGGGTCTTGGAACCCCCGCGTACACCCACGGCAGATGTCCAGGATGAACGTCCCACTGACCCTACACATTGCCTAGCTGATCAAAAGGCTCTCGGCCACCCCCGTCCTCAGTGCTCAGAATGACGTTCACCGGAGCATCCCTGTGGATTCGCAAGCAGCTCTTCAGGCCAACAAAGCCACATTTTTCTTTCAACTGGTACGTCACCGATGACGGCTTGGTGCAATGAACCTACTTTCGGCTTTACTTACTCGCGACCAGGAACGAGAGCTCGAGAAAGTCAATGCTTTCTACTTGCAAAAAGAGGCCGAGGTAAGATGGAATTGCGTGTATCACGTCGTACGGTGCTGAGCATCGATTCTAGCTCAAAGTTCGCCTGAGAACGCTCCTCGACAAGAAGAAGGTTCTGCAATCGCGGGGCCAGGGTTTCCCCCGTCGCTCAACTAAGTTTACGACACTCGAGGAAGGGTTTCAACAATTTGCCAGCGATCTGAACAAGCTGCAACAATTTGTTGAGATCAATGGCACCGCCTTCTCAAAGATCTTGAAAAAGTGGGACAAGACGAGCAAGTCAAAGACCAAGGAACTCTATCTCTCAAGAGCAGTAGAGGTTCAGCCCTTCTTCAACGCTACCGTGATCAGCGAACTTTCCGACCAGGCAACAACCAGTTTGCAAGAAATTGGAGCTTGGTCTGAGGGCGATCATGTCACCTTTGAAGCCCGGACAGATCACCTGGTCAGCAGCCAGCACTTGCTGGGCACCGACGAAGGCGATGCAGATATATTCTTACTCGACACTGTGGTGTCTGGTAACCTTGAGGCATTGAAGGACCTGCTCTTGCGGATGCAAACTGCGTCAGCCGCCACAGGTGATGGATCCAACGTGACTTTGATGGAGCGAGTCACCCGAACATTCCTCGCAGCGATCCACGATGGACCAAAGGAGTCTCTCCACCTTCTTCTCGGAACCGGCCTCGTTGACATTCAATCCGAAGATGACATCAATGAGCGAAACTGTCTTCACCAGGCTGCCATCTACGGCAAGTCATATGTTCTCGAGTATGGGCTGTCAAAGGGAGTGTCCGTCAACCGCACAGATGTATACGGTCGAGTACCTCTCCACTACGCCTGTATGCATGGACGTCTTGACATGCTTGATGCTTTGCTTAGTGGTAAGTTCTGCTGCCTTGAACTGAGATAGCATAACTGATGGTTCCTTAGGAGACGCCCAAACAAAAGACTTGATAGATCACGACAACTTCACGCCTCTGATTCATGCCATCATCCACGGTCACCTGCAATGCGTCCAGAGGCTACTCGAAAAGTCAGCTCGCCTCGACCCCGTCTCGGACGCTGACCACGTGCCTCTGAACCTTGCCTGCGAACACGGCTCGTTGGAGATTGTTGCACTTTTGTTGCAGCATGGTGCTCAGATTCTTCCTGACGCCGAGGGACTCTACCCTCACCACCTGGTGGCCCGATCGGGACAGACCCCACAGCTTCTCTTGCTGTTGAAGCAGCACGGTGCTGACCTAGACCAAGTGGACAAACTGTACGGCTGGACACCGCTCGTGCACGCAGCGAGCGAGGGCAATGTGCCGTGTCTACAGGCGCTTCTTGACGTTGGTGCTGATCCCAGCATCTTGGACGAGAAGGATCTACCTGCGATGTACTATGCAGCATGGGAAGGCCATCTGGAGTGCATGAGGCTGCTCGCACCGTTTAACAAACAGACGCGGGAGAGCCCACTCTTGCTTCAGCCTGCCTCTTCGTTGATCCCTCCAATGATGAGCAGCAGCGGTCCAGACGCCATGGTACTCGACCCCGATGCGATACCAGAGCTCGAGCTTCCCCCTCCGATCATTCCCCTCCGTCGCTACGGACACAATTTCCTTGACACTAAGACTGTCGTACAAATCAATTTTGAGGAGAACGGAGAACAACCACTCGTATTCTTCCACGATGGGAAGTACCCTGCTGCTCGACTCACTATTTCATCTAAAATGTTCGATCTCATTCCGAAAAATATCATGCTTCCTTTCCAAGAAGATACCCGGCTCGCCTCCTTCCAGATCGACAATCTGGATAACTTTACGCTCGACTTCGATGTATTCCCAACGTACGGCGCCAAAATTATCGCCAAGACGGTCGCTCTGCCGAACACTTTTAAGGCTCTCCTGAGCAGCTCTGGGAAATGCTGCTTGCCACTATTTGATCCAAGGCTGCGGGCGATCGGCCAAATCAGCTTCCACGTCCAGGTCATCAAGCCCTTTAACGGAAAGCCCCTAGAGATCACCGACTTTGAGACATACTGGAAGGCAACAAGCCAATTCGACAGGAGTCCCAGCACGTTCATTACCGGTTCGAGCCTATCTGGCGACTTTGTGCGAGTCTTCGTCCAACATACCAGCGACGGTGTACCCGTGCTCTGGCCCAGATGGACAATACCGTGTGGCGGCATCGACCTACCAGTATGTCGCTTGACTGCGGATCAGTTCACCACCATCACAGCTCGAAGCCCAAGCCGAGCAGAGCTCTCGACGTTGCGTACTAAGTCGATGGGCGGTATCGCCGACATTCACCGAATCCTTGCGACAGCGGGTGTTCCCTTGGATGAAGCCCTGTCACTGCTTCCTCACGGCATGCATGTCAACATCCAAGTCCTCTACCCGACGACAGAGGATGAAAAGGCGTTTGGACTCGGGTCCACCTTGGACATGAACAGCTTTGTCGACGCTATCCTGACGATTGTCTTCGATCACGCCCGTGCGCAGCGTGCGCAATCTCTCGAGTCTGTCCGCTCCGTTGTATTCAGCTCCTACAATACCAACCTATGTGCTGCACTTAACTGGAAGCAGCCTAACTTCCCCGTCTTCCTGTGCAATGACCTGGGGCGGGAGGAGCCCATGGCGGCACCTGATATCATTCAGAGCCACGGGCGGCGATCTACGTCCATCAAGGAAGCGGTCAGGGTCGCGCAAAGCAACAACTTCATGGGCCTCATTTGCTGCTCGCGTCTCTTGGTACGTGCTCAACACGTCTTATGTGACATATGCAAGCTAACTTGATATAGGACATGCTTCCAGCACTCGTAGATGCGATCAAGTCACACGGCCTTGTGCTCGTGACCGACAAGTCGTCGGAAGCTACGTCGGCAGTAAACTCCATGGCTGATCCATTTCCAAAGCTGCCCAAAGGTATAGACGGCGTGCTAAAGGGGCATAGTATCCTGCGATTCAATGAGTCGATTGATATGGAGTGATCATGAGCTTACTGCGTGAGCCTTCCCGCGGGTTGATAAGCGAGGTGATTATGAAATAGACCACTGGTACGGAGTTGGAATGGACGACACCTGCCGTCTCGGAGGGAGGCATGAAATGGCACAAGATAGTCACGTTTTGACAATTATTCTTTCTTCGCGAATCGTCGCGTTCTTTTGCATGCTCCTCGAACCCCTGCTTCAAATTACCATTGCCAGACTGCATCACGCCCCCTTGTAATCATACTTCAACGCGCTCAGTTCGCCTTCGGGGTCGACGCTTCCCATGACCACCTTGGCGACGAGAACAACAGTGTAGACGACCGCCGGCCAGTACCCCAACAACCCGCTTTCCTTGCCCCTCGAGAAAGCACCTGCGAGTGCGACGACGGCACAGAGACCCATATTCAAGAGCGGCAGGTATGTGTCGAGCGGCCCTCCCTCACTCAGCACGAACGGTGCCGCGCCACGCCTCTGCCTCTCGCGCCGCGCGGCCGCGGGACGGAGCCAGTCGTCCACGACACGGAGGCCGGTCTTATCGGGCTGTTGGCTGTAGAGGAGATAGGCGGTGGCTAGGAGGGAAGTCGTCGCGAGAAGGGCGGGGTAGGAAGGCGGAAACGCGAGGATGTAGGGGAGGATCGAGACGAGGGGCAAAGGCAGGAGGAGCAGTCGGAAGGTTGCGTTTCGGGAGGCGTTTTCGGCTGTGAGGCGGGCGATGAGGGATTCTTGTTCTGTGGTTTTGAGTCAGTTTCGTCCCCGGGTGAGACAGAGAGATAGAGAGAGTGTGTGACGCGGGAAGGGCAGTACCTTGCTCGTCTATGGCTTCTGGCTGAGAAGAGTCTGAGTCCGAGTCGGCGGGGTAGTGGAATGTCTTTCGGAGACGGGCGGATGCGCCTCTTGTCGCCATGGTGCTAGGGTGAGATGCCAAACAATAGTAACTCAGTATCTTTCTGATCACTGAACGGGCGAAGAGAACTGAAGTTGGCCACGAGTTACGGTGTAGAGCTAGGTTGTTGGACACAAGTCGTGGCTCTCATCGAGTGCTCACAGCCTTATGACGAAACAGCAGGCGACATCTTGTGTCTGATTGGTTGAAGCTTGACAAGGCTTCGACTTGTGATGTGGCCCCACTTCGATACCCCGGTCAACTTTTCTGTCTCGCCTTTCGAGCGCATCGTCTGATCAGAGAGACCCGAGACCGACGACACTGAATGCCACCAGCGAGCCACCCATGTCTTCACACACCGCCATGATCAGCAGGCTCACCAGCAGACGCGCCTTGCAGTCGCTGCGCGTCTTGCCGACCACCACAGCCAATGTTGCCAAGTGCACGAGAACGCCTCTTCAGCAAAGATGGATGACAGCTGCGCCGAAGCCCGGTCAAGGACCCTTGATGGAGCGCCGTGCCGACCGTGAACTTCCAGGTACATTCTCCTCTGTCATATTCATGGGTTATCTGTGACAATAGCTGACGGCCATGGCCTAGACCTTGCCTCGACGACCTTCCGCTGGTCCCGCTCCTTCCCCATCTTTGTCGTCATTGTCGCCGTCTCGTCGCTCGCCATCTTCAACTACCAAAAGTCCTCTTCGCCCGTCGTATCCTCGACGCTCTACGCCCTACGTGTCTCTCCCAAGGCCCGTGAGCTACTGGGAGATGAGGTCTACTTCAAGCACCAAATCCCCTGGATCAGCGGCGAGATGAACCAGCTGCACGGACGCATCGACATTGCGTTCAGCGTCAAGGGCTCTCGCAGCGAGGCCGTCATGCGCTTCGCGAGCTACCGTCTCTCGCACAAGGGCATGTTCGAGACAACCGAGTGGAGCCTGGAGATGCCGGACGGGCGCAAGATTGATCTGCTCGACGGCACGGATCCGTTCAAGGGAATCGTCGGCGGAAACGACCTGGACGACTACGATGAGGAGGCCGCCTCGGCTGCGACCAGGGGCTTCAGGCAACAGCCGAAGCTCAAGTAGATGTACAACTAGGACGTGGCTTGAGAGGTTTTTTTGAACAGAAAGTCGTTTGGAATATGGGTTCTTCTTGAGACAAAGAGCCTTTTATTCTGGCGTGAGGGCCCGCAGAACGCCTCAATGATATGCATAGATGTACAACAGTGTGTATAGTACAATTTCAAAGTTCAAAGAAAAAAGGACAACCCCGGGGATCAACAACTCGTCTCGTACATCGCTTTCTGCCCACTGTCATCACCGTCACTGCTCCTTACCAGCAGCAGTTCGTGTTTACAATAGATCGGGTCGTGACCTCCTCTCCTCCTTCATGACAAGATGCCTCTCCCGCGCCTCCTGCAGCTTGACCTCGGCATCGACGTTCTCCTCCAGCAGCGCCGATAGCGTGGCCTCGCGGTGGGGCTGCGTGGGCGCCTTCCTCTTGACAGCGTCCTGCAGCTTGACGATGCAGCCCTTGGGGCCGGCCACGGGGCCGCTGACGACGACGATGCCAAGCTCGTTATCGACCGACAGCACGGTCAGGTTCTGCACCGTCGTCTGCTGGTTGCCCATGCGTCCCGGCATCTTCTTGCCGGGCAGCACCCTGGAGCCGGAACCCTGCGAGGGGCCGGCGGTACCCATGGTCCTGTGGTTCTTGGAGTTTCCGTGGGAGGCCGGCTGACCGGCGAAGCCGTGCCTCTTCATGCCACCGGCGAAGCCCTGGCCGCGGCTGTTGGAGCGGACGTCGACGTACTGGCCCTTCTGGAACCAGTCGGGCCGCAGCTGGGCGCCGACGGGCAGCAGGCCGTCCTCGCCCTTGACGCGAAACTCGGCAATGTGGCGCTTGGGGAAGACGCCGCGGGCCTCGAAGTAGCCGAGCAGCGGGCGCGTGACGTTGCGCGGCTCCTTCTGGCCGAGGCCGACCTGGACGGCCCAGTAGCCGTGGGTGGCGCGCGTGCGTGAGGCGAGCACCTGCACCTGGTCGAGCTGCAGCACGGTGGCGGGCACGCGCTTCTTGCCGACGAAGACGGACGTCATGCCCTTTTTGATGGCGAGGACGCCGGTGCGCAGGGGCGTCGTGAGCTCCTTGCGGGCGAGGGCGGCGGCTGGGCCAGCGGTCGGGACGGGCAGGCCGGCAGACGGCTGGTTGAAGCGGGTAGGCTTGGAGCGGTGGGGGAGGGTCGACCAGCCGGCCGTGATGCCGCGCTGGCTGGTTCTCGGGAGGAGGAGGCGAGAGGGGAGGGAGAGCGACGGCTGGGCGGGCAGGCGCAGGGCCTGGAGGCAGGATGGCGGGAGTCGAGGCGCCATCGTGCCGTGTTCTGAGATGTGAAGTCGTAGGTCGTCGAGGGAAGGAGAAGTATGGTTGGGGGCCTGTGTCGAGGGCCTCAATTGGGGCGATGGAGCTGTCGGGGGGTGATCGTTGGCGATGGAGTTTCAACGACGACGACTTGTCTGACCCAAGGCCAATGGAAATTTTAGCGACTCTGACTGAGGTTGAGCTCAGCGCTTCCTCGACATGGTCAGTGCGTTTCTGTGTCGCGTTAAGCGCGTTGGCGCCGGTGGAGTCAACTCACCTCCTCCAACAGCTGGGAGTAGCAGCCATATTGATATTATCCTTGAGCACTTCACATGGCCCAGGAGAAATTCTTCCATTGTCTATATTTACTTGGGTATCTTTTGAATGTCTCTGTCTCAATATGAGGAATCTATCTGAGGCAAGTCGATCGATATGGGCTTCCCTGACTTGCGGTGTCAACAGCCAGAGGCAAGATGCCAAAGCAGCCAGAGTTTCAGTTTCCCATGATCACTTCCAAGTCGAAGGCATGCCACGAGCTGTTATGAACGGAGGTGATTGTGGTTACAAGCTTTTGCGGCAGACTTGCCAAAGCGACGCTTGACGATGCCTCGGGCTGCCCCAGCTACTGGAAGCACTTCTGAACCAAAGTACGATTTTTCAACCGAGCCTTGCTCTGGCACAATGTCTATTCCATGCAACTGCCATGCACAAAGTATAGAGGAGGCTCATCGTCCTCTATAGCACCACGCCGAAGCTGCTACAAGCTACACATGGTTTTCTGCCTGTGCGAGGCGGCCGCGTCATCGTTGCTCTTCAAGAAATTTCTGACACGAGGGTAGCAATTCCTTTTTTCGCTCTGTCTGTTGATCTCATCTTGTGCATTTCCGTGCTGCAAAGACGATCACCGCTTCCCAGCCTGTCATCACGAAGACCGGAGACATTGCACGGTGCAAGGGCTGATGCTGCGATTAGGCTTGGCCAGAGCAATGGCGAACCAGGGTCCAGACATCAAACGCAATGGGCCGATGCGAAACATAGTCGCCGAACACCTGAAGAATTGGGGTTACTTTATTAGACTTGATTGCACTGTCTAGGCTCCTACCGCATCGATCACCCGGCCAGGCTTCTTGGCATTGTCAGGCACAATGAACCGAAGCCCTCGCCGCAGGCTAGCAGCGCGATCAACTGTTGCACGCAGTAAAGTGGTCGAGGGCCCTCTGCGCGATGGTCTGGTCGGCCAGGCTCCCCTTGACATTCCTCTCGCCCTTGACGGCCGCGGCGACAGTCTTGAAGAGGTCGCTGTCCTTGTTGGCGAGGTCGGGGTTGGCGGCGACGGTCTGGCGCCAGTCGATGCGCTCGCTGCTGGCCTTTGCATACGCGCTGTTGCGCTGGATGATCTTCCACTGCACCTCCCTGATCTTCCTGAGGCGGTCGAGCATGTTGCCCTCGCCCCGGGCCAGCGAGTAGTGCTTGATGCTGCCGAGCGTCTCCATGACGTTGGCCCGCTTGCGCCCGATCGAGAAGTTGTTCGACGCCGCTTTCTCGTAGTTCTTGTTGGAGATCTTGGCGAGGTCGTTGAAGAGGCCGACGGCCGTCTTGCGGCCCTTGACGAGGCGCTCGATCTGGTCGGGCTCGCTCACCTTGCCCATGCGCCTGAGGGCGTCGACAATAGCAGCGATGTCGCCTGGGAAGAAGGCGAAGCCGGACGAGATCTCGTAGTACCTGGGCTCGCTCGTCGGCTTGCCCGTCTCGTAGTAGTTGACAAATTCGTTGAAGTTGCAGCGGCCGTCTTTGCCGGTGCCCTTACACCGCTGGGCGATGGTGTTCTTGCCCTGGCCGTTGACCTCGACGTCGAGATCGTAGGTGACGTAGTAGTGAAGGACCCGGGCTGCTTCCAAGGCCGAGATCTCGGCCACGCAGGTTTGGAAGGCGGCCAGCAGGCCTAGGACAGTAGGGAAGAGTCTCATGACGATGGAGAGAGGTGTTGAGCGAGACGTGATACAAGCAAAATGCTCGACAGAGGTTCGAGAAGTGTTTCTGAGACAGAATCAAGAGAGAGCAAACAAGCAAGGATATGATGTGCTCGGCTGTGGTCATAGAAGAGGGAGAATAGGAGCCCCGAACCACTTGACCCGGGGCCGGATGGAAACAAGGACGGTGCCTTGACCAGACATGGCCAAATAAAATGGTTCAGCAGCGATGTCTAGCCCTTCTCAGCTCGATCCTTACTGACACCAAGTCCCTGTAGATATCGACCTCCACAGGGATGCGTTCGGGGTGATCAGGGAGGGGGGTGCAAATGTGCGGTGCCCCTGTCACCGGCAGAAAGATCCATGCATCTTCATGAGGCGCCAAGCGGGGCTGGGCTCCAAGGATGAGGTTTGGAGGATTGAGATGCCAAGGATGCCACAAGACCAGGGTGGTATCGTTGTAGCAGAGAGCTTATGCCGGATCTCAATCGACTACGGACCACGGACCGTATGTTCTGTTTTCGAACGATGACCATGTCAGCAGGCGAGCGAAAATTTCAATGTCCCTCGTTCGGCTCTTGGCAGTTCATCCTTCCCGTGGCTGCATGGTCTCTCTCCTCTGAGCAAGGGAGAGCGCACTCCGGCTGTTGTGCTCTTTTGTTGTTTTCCTTGGCGGTGTTGCCACTCGATCGAGTGGGACACTGTGATATTTGGTCACCTCGGTACAATATATCACATGGAGTACGGTGGTGTTGAGGTCAGACTTTTCACCGTTCACTTGGCATAATCTAGGGAGCAAGACACTCGCCACTATTCAGGAGGCTTGCAGGACGACATACGAATATCGATCTGGGCCAAAAAGTTATTCCCTTCGATCCCAGCTAGGATTTCAATCATTGGGTGTTGGTTCTGGTCACATGTGATATGAGGGGAAACACCAGTTGAATGTAGCACTCAATGAAGAAAAGAAGTGATCTTCGAGGCTAGTCATCTGACGTGAACTACCGAGAAACAAAGATAGACAAGATGCCATACTCAAACATGTTCTATCGGCTGAACATAGACTTGGTCTCCAGTATCCTAATTCATGGGCCATATTCTAGACTTAGATCATCATCCAGTCAGGGCGTTCTCAGACCCGCAGGCTCGACCCAGACGCTACCTAAGCATACCGGCAAAGGTCAAGCTTGGGGGGCCTCTTCTGAGCGCTGGACGCGATGCCGGCCATCTTGCTGGCCTGGGGACTGATGCGCGCAATCTGCTCAGCGCTCATGTCACGCCTCAACTTGGCCGCCTTGCCGACGTTGGTGGCGCTACGGAGATTGGTGCCGCTCATGATGAGACCAAAGATGAGGAGCGGAATGGTCGTGGGATCGCTCACGGCTGTGTAGAGGCCGAGCCCAGTATTTCCGGCCTCGGAGAGGGCCACAAGCGTGCGGCCGAGGAGACGCAGGCCTGTTGACGCGGCACCGGCCGCGACGCCGCCGAAGCCGCCGAGTACGAGGAGCACGGCCGAGAGGAGATTCGTAATCAGGGCGATTTTGTTGGCCTCCTCAATGTCTTTGCCCATCTCGACGACGGTTTCCATGTGCTCGAGACCCGAGTACATCATGAAGATGGGCAGGACAAGGGCATCGATGAGGTCGAAGGAGTCCTCGTCGTACTCATCGGCGGTCACGGACAGCTCATACTCGGCGAGGATACTCTCAATGTTAACGTTCTTCAGGGTCGAGCTGATCTCCGTCTTGGGATTAAAGACGTCCTCAACAGTGAAGCCGGTGCCAATGGTCGGGGCATTGTGCCACCAGTGCTCGCCCTGGCAATCGCCCTTCATGGCTTCGTACGACGTGTCGCCGCCGGGTCGGCTGCCGAAGCACATCTCAATGGCGAGCCTTGATTTGAGGTGGGGACGGTGCTCTGGGTAATAGATGTCTTCCTCACCGACGCCGACGACGGTCGAGATCTCGTTGACAAAGTCCTTCTTGGTCTCGTCGCTCTTGTAGTCCCAGAAGATAGATTCCATATGGTACCTCGAGGGATCCATACCGCGCTGCGAGTAGTCGGGAGGGCAGGGCATCTTCTTCTTGCGCCACTCCCAGCCCGGGTGTCCGGACCATTTGATGTCACAGTCATTGATGCAGTTATGGCAGTTGTGGCGGTTGAGGGCCTCGCATCCAGGACAGCAAGGAAACTTGGAGAAGATCTCGCAGTTGAAGTAGTCGTTGCCCTCGTCCATCATGAGCTGCCAGAGAGCCTCGTGACGGTTCGTGAAGATGTGATCGGCGTACAAGCCGAAATACTTGTCGTAGCCGTCGCCGAGGATCTCCTCGAAGCGCTTCTTGACCTCCTTGAGCATGCTATGCAGCACGGGGATGAGGTACTTGCCCACGCAGTGGGGTGGTATCTCGTTCCTAAAGTCGAGGTTGTAGATGTTGTCCATTGTCGTTGGCGAGTACGGACACGGCTCGAGCGACTTGTCGTCGTTGGGATCCGGCTCGTAGTCGCTGTCCTCGCCATCATCCTCACCACGCTCGCCCTCGCCCTGGAGATCGACAGCCCAGTCAGAAGTGCCGCCCATGTTGAGAGACTCGTAGTAGCTGATGCGTCGGCTCTTGGTCGCCTCCGTCATGTAGGCCACCCACTCGACGCGTTCGTAGACGAGGTAATCCGAGTCCGTTTCGGCGTCATACCACGACTTGATGGCACCGCCCTTCTTAATAATCTCATCAATCTCGAAATTGGAAATGTAGCCGCCCTCACCGGTGCAACGACCCTTCTTGGCAGGCGACTGGTTGCGAGCACCCAGGAACGTACACTGCGGCCCGCGGCAACCCGCGTCGGACATCTTGAAAGAACGACCGTAGCTTGTGACACCGACGACAATCTTGTGTGTCGGCACGCCAGCCTTGGTGATCATGACGAGGCTGTCCTGGGTCGTTGTCGAGTTGACATGCGAGCGTAGACACGTGCCAGAGTCACAGCCCGGCATCGCCCATTTGTTGCCGACGTCCCACTGTCCGTGGAAGTCGTATGTCATGTAG